TTTTAGTTCTTAATTTTTAAATTTATGTAATTAGATCCTCGCTTGTTGATAAAATTTTTTAAATAAATTAGTGAGTATTAATAAGATAAAGAGTTGATACTCATATCCCGAAATCATATTAATAAGCATGCATTTTTTTTATTTTTATTTACTTCAATACTTGTTTGATATTCTTAATGGATATTACTACACATTTAGTTAAATTAGAAAATGTCAAGAAAGATTTTTATGATGTAATGAGTCAATGTTGTTAACTTTTGACAAAGTATAACAAGCTAGAAAGTGAAAATTATTTTTCTATTAACTATACTTTTTGAGTCATAATTATTATTTGTTAATTGTAAGTAATACTATTATGAAGTAACCAGTTTAATTATAAACTATTTTTTCTTTAGATCTTCCTAAAAACTCATACTAGTTTTTTATTGTTTTGTCGGACGTATGACACAAAAATACACAAATACTCAAACCAGTAAAATTATAAAATGATTTGATTTTCATGAAAATAAAGAGTAGTAATGCCAACGTTTCATTACTATTAAACCTTTAATTACATAAAAAGATTTATTACATTAAACCTTTCATTACTCTTTGTTTGAATAATGATAAATAAAGATAATTTAATTCAATTCATCCGTAAATTTAAAGGACAAGACTAGCGGTTAAAAAAAATATTCTTTCTTTTAACTTATTGAGTTTGAACATTGTAATTTGAAACTATGCTTAGTACGAGGAGAAAGGAGATGAAAAGTTATCCTTGTAATAAAAAAATGATGAAAGGTAACATTTAATCCCAAAACTTCACCTTTTTTAATAATTTTTACCCCTTAACACTTTACCTTTAAATCATACCCTTTAATATTTACCTTCTAAATTTTTTACTCCACACTAAACAAATCTTTATAAAAAAAAATTATTCTCTAAATGTATTAGACTGATGCAAAGAACGTATCTTTACGATCTTTTAAAGAAATGATTTAGTTTTCAATCAACGTGCAAGCTAAAAAAAAAAAAAAAAAAAAACCCTAATTCATAAGTTGAGCCACAATCTGAAATTACAGGAGTTTCTCTTTGGAAACCTAGTCAAAAATTGCCTGCCTTGCATTTCTCTAGCTTTGTTATACGGTAATATTGTAATGGTTCCCAAATCTCAAGCTTTAGATCGCATATGGATAAATCGGCCGAATTGATTACACACATGGGCCCGTTCTTTAACGTTAAGAAGCCTACTTTTTATGAATAATGTAACTTCAAGAACATACGAATTCTTTAAAGCAAGTAGTGGAAGGAGAGGAGGACGAGCAGAAGAGTAGTTTTTGGCCCTTGATTGTCGAGATATGGTTGTTTTCTGTTTATTGCCATTGGGAATCCAAATTTAGACAGACGAGGAGGAGAGTGGGTTGAGAGAGATTCGCTGGTTTTTTATTTGCAAGTTTTCAAACTCTTTCCGCTTAGAACTAGAAAACTTTTTGGGCTCAGTTAAAAATATATATTTATGTAAAAAAAAAAAAAACCCTAAACCCAAAGCGTTTGTATCCCAGAAAACACGTTGTGTCAATTACAAGTACTAATTTAAGTCTTGGATAATGTTCCTTTTGTGCCCTCACCTTTGGACTCCACTCCTCCGTTATTCTCCCACATCAACGTTTGAGAAAAACACTCTTTCTTCTTCCATTGTTGTGGTCTCACCTGCCAATGCAAGTCTACGTGCATTGGATACTATGTATCATTGGAATAATGCAACTTGTTCACGCCAATATGCGCATAATTTGGTGCAATAAAAACTTGGTCCATCCTTGCTTTTTTATTTATTTTTTGTGTGTTTTAGTTGAGAGTAATTATTTTCGAATCAGCTTGTGTATCAATTAAAATTAAATATTTTTTCTAACGATTTTAAGAATACATCTCTCATATTATTCTTACCGTATCTAGACTCGGTAAGTTTCCCCGTGTTAAGTCAAATTAAGCGCCGTGCTCCACTCCCGGTGGTGCCCTTCCATCAATTCCTTTAAGTTTCAGCCTTGCGACCATACTCCTCCTAGAACCCAAAAACTTTGATTTATCATAAGGTGATGGCGGAGTCCTAGAAGCAACATTCGTCAATCCCCGGTTGGCATCGTTTATGGTTGAGACTAGGACGATATCCGATCGTCTTCGAGCCCCTAACTTTCATTCTTGATTAATGAAAACATCCTTGGCAAATGCTTTCGCAGTCGTTCGTCTTTCATAAAAATACAAGAATTTCACCTCCGACTATGAAATAGGAATGCCCCCTCCTTATTTATTAGGCCAATCTTTTAAGATTTGCTCCTTTCCTTTCTAAAATCTGAAAAAAATAAAAATAAATTATGTTATATATATATATATATGTTCCACAAGCCTGGTGTAAAATTGTGAAATTTGCATTGCATCTTATCATGGGGCTCTAAGCCTCTAACTTCTAAGTTATTAACCGTGTAAGAAATAATTCATAATAAAAAAGGTTTTGAAATGATCATGAGACCTTTTTTTTATATATATAACAAAGATCATTGCTATTTGGTTCTATTAATCCAAGACAATCTATACTATATAATGAAATTTTGCCTGTGTAATAAAATTTAATATTATTTTATTTTATAAAATTTCATCATTTCTCATTATTTTTTACTTATGCTTTCGTTTTTTCTAATTTCTTAAAACAAAAAATAAAAATAAATTGAAAAAAAAATAAAAGAATTAATTCACAAGAAAATTTAAAAATAATATAGAAACTAAATAATAAATTTTGAAACAAAGAGGGCTAATTAATTCATTTCTCAAACTAAAACGACTAATTTATAATTTACTCTTTATTTATCTATTATGACCCCTTTCAAATAACTTACAAGTGATAACTACTTGTCATTTGAAAACGATGTGAGCGCATGTGGTTAGTATCATGATCTCATTTTATTTAGTAAAAAGGTTCTAATTAACAATTAATTAATGGTAAACAAAACAATAATAAAAAAAGAACAAACTAATGGATTGATATACATTACTTATTTTAGATTTCATTATCACGATTTTTTCTTTTTTAGGATAACAAAACAAATAAAATAGTTTTTTTTTTTTTTCCTATTATGGTCCACCGCTATATGCACCATGCAGGCCCAAATCACTACTTGTTACTCAATAAGCTTGTTCAGTGATCATTCGGTTTTTAATAATTTTAGTTCGGTTTTTGTTTAATCAAATCTAAAAAATAAAAATCAAACTCGAATCGAATTACCATTTGAATTTCAGTTTCTATTCTTTCAGTTCAAACTAGTTTTATACATATATAAATTTTTTTCAATATTTTTAAATGATGTCAATAGACAAAAAATATCATCAATAAAAACACCATCAATCCATTATATTTCTATAATAATATTAAAATATTAGTTTTTTGTATTATTTTAAAACTTAAAAGAAAAGAAAAAACTTGATTTTTGATTTAAACTAAACCTAAAAACTGAAAAAAATTAGTTTCAGTACTTGCTTTAATTTTTTAGTTAAAAATCCAATCAAAATTGATATTTCATATTAAAGAGCTTGTAAGAGGTCATGGATTCAAATCTTAACAGACTAGTTTTGTTAGGAGTTTTTTAAAACTTCGATTCGATTTAGTTTGATTTAAACCGGATAGAGCCGACAATTCAGTTTGGTTCACTTTAAACCAAATGGAGCTCACCCTTGTCGCTGGCAGGAAAGCAAAGAGGCATGTAGGTGCACATGATTTGTTCATGTTAAACAGTGCCAAAAAATCTCCGGCTAGTGGCATGTCGCAAACGCAAATATCAAAAAGGGGTGCTTCGAAATGTACAAGGGTGGTCCATGAAGAGATATTGGGTAAGAGTTGGGTCATGGCACGACGCGGTTGGGGACCAAAGGATTATCCTGTCCCGTCCTAATTTGCCCGATGAGGATGGGCTTGCTTGCTTGTTGCTGGGACTTAATTTGTGTCAATTTTATTTCTAGCGAAGAAGCAGATAAAAAACAGGAAGTACATTTGCCCATGCCAAGGGAAGGGAATTATACTTCAGCTTCGGTTGACAGGAGCTTTCTGTAGGCTGTACGCAGGGATGGCACTTTCTCTCTCTTTTTAATGGAGTAAATTATAAACTAGTCCTTTTAGTTATTATAAATGAATTAATTAATCCTTCTGTTTCTCAAAAAAATAATTAATTATTTCTATATTTTTATTTTATTTTATTATAATTTAACCTTTCTGTTTTTTTTTTTAAGAAATAGAAAAGGAAAAAAAAAACCAATACTCTCTTTGTCACAAAAAAATTATTTGTCTCTCTATTTATATCTGTCTAAAAATACTTATCAAAATTTTAAATGATGTACTTTCTTAAAATATTTCTAATTAAATAATCTTAATTAATATTAATTGCATGTCATGTAAAATTCAATATTTAAGAAAAGTATGAACAATATATGCTGATATGACGTAATTATGATGTTATTAATTTGTGTGAAAATCAGAGAAAAAATGTCTTTTAGGATAGACAGAATAATAAATTAAGTGTTGTAAATATTAATTAAAAGATTAAATAATTACTTTTTGAAACAAAAAATACTAATTAATTATTTTCTAGAAAATAAAGGGATTGATTTATAATTTACTCTTTATTTATGAAAGCTTCTACCATCCATGGCCACCGGACATTGCTTTGATCTGCGGATACCGCCCGAACGAAAAGACAAGAGTTTTCCTCTCATGTTTGTTTTTTCCATCCAGCTCAAGTCGCTTTCTACTTGCCCTGTCTGAATCTGTCCCCATAAATAATTTTTTTGTCCCGTCACCTTTATGGATTTGATAGGTTACGCAGGCCAGTGGTTAGGAGTTGATAATTAATGGTAAAATTGGTGGAATCATATTTGAAAATTTTCAGAAGTAAAAAAAGTAAGAATACGATTGATTCAACTCGAAAGGAAATCATCAAAACTGAAGGCGTAATCTAATAAATCCAGGCATCAGCTAGGAATCAAGAAGATTCTGTGTTTTGGCAACTAGCTAAGAAGACAGCTCCTGCTCCAGAACCACCATGAGAGTGCTCAATTACTACGTTATCTGATTTATCACTGCCTAGCATCTCCCAGACACTGCTATGGAGATAGTTTCTAAACACTCGATAATGCTCATAAAGTCCACCTTCCACAGTTACCACACTTTTTCTGCTCTCAATTCTTCCAAGTTTTTTTATAATCCCGACAATGCCAGCTCCGGCAAGGCGGGCACCACGTTCTGCAACGACGTCGCAAACCTCAGCCACAACCTCCCTTGCCGCTGGAGTAGAATCAGTGATCTGGGATCAAGAAAATACAGATGCTAAGTGTAGAAAGTAGAGTACATAGCAAAGATTTTTGTAAGAGGAAAACCACTGATCGGATAGTTAAGAAAACTGGTGAAATATTGCTCGTACATAAAACTTCCAAAGGCAGGATTCTGATTTCGAATTCATGCTCCAGATTTTTAAGGGAAGAAAGGCAAAAGGCTCAAGCTTTGTTTCAACGTTTGTTAATTACTGGACATTTTAAAGGAACCTTACCCAGAAAATTTCCTTCAGCTTCTCGCCAACCACATCATGATCCTCTGATGTATCTTGATGCATGGCAGCCATGTCAGGTGACCTGTTCAAGATGTCAGAAAGAAATTTTTACTATATACCTAAACCATGCAGCAGTACCTGTGAAAGGACTGGATTTATAATGTTAAAGTACACAAATCTACACAATCAAACATAGTCTAGGGTTGTGTATCCGGTAACTTTTCCAGTAAAGTACATAAATCTACGCAATCAAAGATAGTCTAGCGGTTGCATATCCAATAGCTTTTGAGGTAGTTAGAATCTTAATTACACTAGTTTATTTGGAGATTATGTAATAAGAGAGGACTACTTTCCATTGTATAGCCCAAAGTCCACGGCCCTCTCGATGAACAAAACAAATAAAGAGAAAGTACACAAATCTCGAGAGCAGTCCCTGCAAATTCTGAATTAATCTAAATTTTAGAGGGGGTATAAGTAGATATAACTTTACTTAAAGTCCGACCACTGTTCTTAGACCGCTAAGATAAGTTCATTAATCACAACAATTTACTGCAGTTGCTTACAAACTATGCACATTTAGGTAATAATCGCTTTTATACCTTAACTGGTAAGGAGTTGCAAGTTTTGGAGGGACAACGTCTCCAAAAAGTGCTGTTTCCTGGGCCATCTTAAGCAAGACTCTTCTTACAATTTCTCCCAAGTACATTGCCGAGGTAAGCTTCTCGAAGATCTGAGACATAAGAAGACTCAGAAACAAATGTTATTTACTTGTATTCGGAGACATGAATTACACGATTTACCATACCCTGCAACCAGGATTCGAGCTTTCTGCATCTAAACTGGAATCAAATTCAGTTATTGGAAGGTTTGAGCAATTGAAGTTTCCCCATTCTGTATTGATAACCTGTGAAAATTAAGCTCATTCACCTTGGATTTCCATATTACATACATAAATAGTATCAATAATATTAATTTAATACTTGCCAACTCGTCCAGATTGGATAATGGCGTTGGCTCTTGCCATTTAAGAACTGCTTCTTTTGGTTCTACATATGCAGCATTTGAACCCATAGCTAGAGTCACTGAAGCTACAACGCCCCTGTTATAGTATCTACCTCCAGCCAAATTTCCTACAGTATCATCAACCTGTTCAAGAAGAGATGAGAAACATCTTTTGGCACAATATTTCATACTAATTTTAAGGTTAACAGTTTGAACTGATAAAGGTGCATACGCAGCAGGATAGGGGAGCTTACAAGTGAAAAAACTCGGAACTTGAGACCATGTTTCTCCAAAGCTCGATTGATGTCACTGACAAATGCTTTCTCAACCTGATTTCATATATAAATTTGGGGTAAAAAATTCAAACCATTTCTGATTTTTTTTTTTTTTTTTGGCATTTGTTTTATCAAATGAAATTACTTGGCGAAACGGGATAAGCGAACTCAACTTTGTCATTAGCTGAAAAGCTCTTCCATTTAATAGCAGAGCCAGAGGTAGCTGCGGCTTGATCCACTGGATATGACACAGTAAAACCCAGTTTCTTCTCTCTTTCTGGCCCATCATTAGTGTCACCTGGGGGATGTTCTGAAACGAATTTTGCTAGCTCCGCGGCAATGTAGTCGAATAACTCCTAAAAGAAAAAGGAAATTTCAGATGCAATTTTACACCCACATGACCACAACACTTAAAGGTCATTGTTCAACTGGATTTCAAGATTATGGAAGCAACTTCAACAGATTATTAAACTGCTTATGGCAGCATAGTTTTTAGCTTCAAAAATTGGCATAGGAAATTAGTTACGGACAATCTCTCCAAATTCCCCTGTCCAATTCTGGATACAAACTTTATATTCATCAATGCTAGCAATCCAGTTCATAGTTTCAAATAACATGGTTACAGAATCTAACAGTTGTTATTTAATGAATTTAGACATACTCATTATTGTTATACGATGTTATAGAGAACATACAATCACGTTTCACATAAATAGCGATGTTATAGGTCGTTACTATTATATAACGTTGTCGTTACTGTTATTTAGTGAATAATGATAATTATATAATTTTTTTTCTTTGTATTTTATTATTGTTTGTATGATATTAAATTATTAAAAATATATATATTTATTTATTTTATAATAAATTCAACTATTATTGTATGATATTAAACTATTAGATATGTTATTATTATGCTTAATTAGTAAAATTATTAAAAATATATAAATTAAATTAAATTATAAACAATTACTAATTTGTTAATGCATTTTTTTATGATATCAATTGATAAAATCGTTATTTTTCTATCGTAATGAGCCACGGCTCGTGATCGCGAACGTTTTTAAAAAACTACTTTAATTAGTAGTCCCAAAACAGTTATAAGCTTTTCAAAAGTTGCTTCTAAATCAAACTATATATATAAAATTTCAATGCTTTAAAATTATAAGTATACCTGAGAGGTACCGAACACCACATTTGGGGGTATGGAAATTTCCTTCCTATGTAAATCAGAAATAGGCTCATTTCTCCCTCCAAGCCGAGCACACAAAATTATGAAATTGGTTCCTCGCAAATTCAACCCATAATATAGGCCCTTCTCATCCCTTTGCACAAAAGAAGAAGAGCAAGTAAAGCAAAAGAAGAAAAACAAAATCAAGATCAAGAAAACATACAACTTCACCACTAAAAAAGAAAAAAAAAGATGGCAGAATCTCTCGTACCCATTAGGCAATGAAGCAGCATAGGAAACAAGCATGGGGAGGCCGGTGCTAGTTTCCTCCCGAGAAACAAGAGATGCTTCCATATCAGCCACCAATGCATTGGCCACTTCCCAAAGTTTGGGCACAGGAGTGGCGCATTCCCTTGCAAATTTACGCAAAATGCGTTGCGTTTGCTTCCTCTGCCTTTCTTTTCTTCTTGAGTACTGCCTCACCAATACGGCCACGACGGCCACTGTTGTCACTGCTGCCAGCGCCACCACTTCCTTTCTCATTTCTACTAATTAGATGTCTTAATCTTTTGGATGAATCCACAGGATTGAATCTAAGAGGTTGGCTTTGTTGTAAAAACTTCTTTTCGAGAGGATGGAAATGGCATCAAGAATATAACTGAAATCCTTCTTTTATGCATGGTGGAACGAGTCGCATGGATAGTTATAGCAATACAAGAGTAAATTATACATTAGTCCTTCTTGTTTAGAAAAACAAACTAATTAGTCCATTTCCTTTTAAAAATTAATATTTTAGTCTTTTATGTTTTAATTCCATCAATAACTTAGTCGTTTTATCAATTTCTATTAGATTAGTGATTTTTTTCTCAAAAAATTGTTATTTTTTTTTAATTTTTGATTGAGAAGGAAAAAAAAAGAAATAGAGAAATAAGGCATTGAAAGAAGAAAAATTTGAGAAAAAAAATCACTAATCTAATGAAAAATTGATAAAAATACTAAGTTATTCATGAAAGTAAAACGTAAAGAACTAAATAATTAGTTAAAGCGAGAGAGGCTAATTAATTTTTTTTTTAAATGAGAAGGACTAATTTATAATTTACTCGTAACGGAATGATTTTCTTTCTTGGCTATTTCCCCTGCAAACTTTTTATTGCTGAAGCCCAAGTTCAGTAAACGTGTTTAGTGGGTTTTCTTTTCTGAGCCTAATCTATGTTTCTCGGAACCGTGGGTGCATGATTAGTTAATGAGTAAGTTATAAATTAATCCCTCTAATATAGAGAAATGAATTCATTAGTCCTCCTTGTTTTTAAAAAATAAATATTTTGTCTTTATATTTAAAATTTTTTCTTATAAGTTGATATTTTCCCCTCATTTTCAATTCATTTTGATTTTTTTGTTTTAAGAAATACAAAAAAATAAAAAGTGTAAAAGGATTGATTGAAAAAAACATTTTATGAAAAATATAATATTAAATTTTCTCACCCTGAAAAAGATTGTTTTTTTTTGTTTTCTCCATACATAATTAAAAAAATGATGAATGCATTATGATTCCAACCTATTTCAACTTGTCGATTAAAAAAAACTCTTCACCACTAACCAAATTCTATTGATTTGATATATGTTTCCGTTTAGAACAAAATATAGAGCAATAATGTTTATCAAATAAATAAATAAAGGCAGTAGTCCAGAGTAATTTGAAACAAATAACATGACATATAATTAATTGTAATTTTTTAATTTGTGAAAAAAATCAAATAAAATAAAAACTTTGGCACAGAGAGAATGAGTTACTAAGTTGATTACAAAGTCTTCTTGATTTTATGTGTTTGATAATGCCTTGCATGTCGGCATATCAAAATCATTCATATTGATTTTTTTTCGATCCAAATGCCTTTTGAAAAGCATTTCCAAATGCAGTAAAAACACATTAGCAAACACTCTTTGCCTATGAAGCAACCACTTAGAAAATTAAACATCAAAAGCTACAGGTCAAAATTGTAACCAAAAGTTATAATCATATCAATGGTCCACAAAATTAGGGTTTATATTGTGCCAGAAAAGGAAAACCAAAAAGTATTACTGGTTTCCTTCTCAGTTAAACAGAAGCTACATACTGATCCTATTCTATGCGACAGGGAGAGAGAGATGAGAGTAAAATGGAGTTAAAACCTGATTACATAAATAACAACTTTTAACAATGGAGTTCCATCAAATTTAGTTCTCAAATACAGAGTACATAAACATTAGTGAAAGGAATCAAAACTACAAGCATCTGGGAAAATGCAGAAGCTTAAGCCATAGAACAAAATATTTCCCTCTTCTTCTACGTCAGGGTCTTCCCCTATGCACAGGTGGAATCATGTTACAAAATTGCTAGCAGAGGAAACAAATCATCATTTTTCCTGAGTCCAGATCTTCACGGTCTTGTCATTGCCCAGTGCCCCAGATGCGATAATATTCTGGGTGGGATGACACGCTACTGATATAACTGTATCAGTGTGACCTTCCAATTTCTGTACTATTTTCCTGCTTTGAAGCTCCCACAAGTATACACAACTATCCTCAGAACCACCAACAATGTACTTTCCATTGGTTATGGAAAACGTTGACGAAATACAGAATTTTGTATTGGCATGCCCAGTGTATGTCTTCAGAAATTTCCCAGTTGCAAAATTCCAAAGCCTCTGCAAGTGTATCACAGCGAATCCAGGTGAGAAGACCATCTCAAAGAAATGAAAACCACCAGATAAGGAAAGACTAGCCCTCACAAATAAAACTACAATGATTAATTCTCTAAAACAATAAGCTATCAAGTAAACTTTATATGTGCTAATTATTCTCCCTTGGAAGTAAAACAATAAACAAACACAAGATATATGTGCAAATAAACATTCAGCAAAGAGAAGAAATCTTCAAGGAACTTTGTTCAGGGTAAAAAAAAAATAGAATCATCATGGAGCCAAATTTAATGGGTTTTTAACTCTGCATATTTTTCTCTGTGTGTGTGTGTGTAAAGCCTCTAGAAGTGATCCCAACATGTGGACTGCTACGATACAAGTCCATGATATACACATCAAAATGGTAAACAAAAAAGAAAAAAATGATCACTAGTTAACGAATAAACTTGATAAAATTCAGCTAAAGAACCTAAATGTTGTACAGACAACTCCACAACAAAAATTCCATTTGAATTACACAGATTATACGAGAAAGGGAGGAAAAATGTCAGGGATGACGATGCTAAATATTATCTGCTCCCTGTTATCCAGGACAGCAAAATTGCAGCCATACAAAAGATAAAAAAACAACGCTTACAAATATTTCAACTGAACTAGCATGGAATATACGAAAACAGGGATAATGTTCCACCGAGAGAAATAATTTGCACAGAAACTACAAAAAGTTTATCAATATTTAAGACCAATTAATAATTCGTAAGAGAAAAGTAGGTAAAATCATAAAATGAAAGCATCATGTGTGCTAAATAATGGAAAATTTCAAGTATAAGCTTAGAAAAGAGACGATTCATGCCATATCATGTGGAAAAAAACCAGTAAAGATAAAGTAAAACTTGAAGTTGATTCAATCTTCCAAGTCCCAAAGCAGAACTACAATTATTATTCGAAGCATAATTCTAGCCCCAACTTTCTATTAGGGCCAACAACAACACATAAAAAGATAAAGTAAAATTCAGATATGATATGACATACCAAATTGTTATCCAAAGTGCCAACAAGAATAAACTTTCCATTGGGCGAAAACTTAACAAAGGAAACAGGTGGATTTTCATCATCAATCAAAGTCTTGATACAGTGACCAGTTCCAGCATCCCAAATCCTACACAATCCATCATAACTACTCGATACAATAAGCGACCCATCTCTGTTAAAATCGACAGCAGTAACTGGATCGGAATGGGCAGGCAACACCTTCAAACACTTACCACTCTTCACATCCCAAATTCTAACAGTCTCGTCAAAAGAACCCGAAACAATCATATTCGATTGCGGGTTAAAATTGACGCAAAACACGTAATTGGTGTGCCCGTGAAGGGTTTTGATTGTGGAACCTGTTGTGACGTCCCAGAGGCGGAGGGTTTTGTCGTCGGAGGCAGAGACAATGAAGCGGGAATCGGAGGAGAAGGCTAAGTCGGAGACGCCTTGTTCGTGCCCGTGGTAGTCATGGAGAGGAGTGATTGGGGAAGTAGGAGGATTAGAAGGGGAGAGGGAATAGGTTTTGATGGTTTTGTCAGCGGAGGAAGAGCCGAGAAGACGGCCATCGGAGGAGAATTTGACGGATGAGATAGGAGATTTGTGGCCTGTTAGGGTTTGGGTTAGGGAGTAGGGTTTGTAGGATTCGATTAGGTCTGACATTAGTTTTTCTTTTCCTTTTGGTTGGGGTTTTGAAATGGTTTAGGTGGGAGAAGAGAGAGAGGCAGAGACGTTACGACCTACGACACGACAGAGACGAAGGATAATTTGAGAATTGGACTCACCTTTTTTTTTTTTTGATAAATAACTTAATTATCCACATATAACATTGTTAGTCTCTAATTTGTCTAATTATGTTTTTAAATGATATTTAAATCATTAATATATTTATCTAATTAATGTTCCAACCATAACCAAATTTTTTAACGAAATAATCTAACTAAAATATAAAAAAATAAAATAAATTTAAAAACTTAAAAAATGAAACATTTGCGTGTTATAACTTATCACTTATCATTGATAAGGATTTTCAAGTTAATTATTTTTTTAATAAAAAAAGTAGCTCTTAGGGTTGAGAATAATATTTAAGAAAAGCCATACTCACTTTTATTCTATCTTAGAATAGTGATAGATTTTTTATTTGTTTAATGCTGTGAATAGAATAAAATACATAAAATTATTTTTAAAAATTATTTTATTTTGATGTCTTGTGTTATATTACACGTCTATGAAAATACATCAAATAAAAATTCATTTAATTTTATGATTTTTTTAATCAAAATTTTATATTTGATTGATTATTTTTTATATCTTTCATAAATTTTTTATCAAAAACATTATTTGATAGTATAAAGAATGTCAAAACCAATTGATTCTTAGCTAAAAACTTAATTTGTAATTTTTTTAAAATAATTTTTTGCCTTAAAATTTTTTAATTAAAAAAATCAGAAAAAAAGAACCAAAGTAACTAAAATGAAACAAAAAAAGAGAGACCAAAACCAAATAAAAAATATTTACGAACTAAAAAAATAATACTTTTTTAAAAAAAATCATAGTGTAATATCACGAAAACTTTCATAATAATATCTTAAAAATATTTAAAAACTATAAAAATGTCATTACATAATGAAAGAAATAGCGTATTTGAATTTATGTGAATAGTAAAATGAGTCCGAATCAATAATATTTCAAATAATGAATGAATAGTAAATTATTATTTTACTTTAGTTTTATTGATAATTCTCTGTCTTCTTTTATACCTATATGTTTTTCTTTATTTATAAGTTTAATTAGCGCTTTCTTCATAGCTTTAGTTATTATTATTTCTTTACAAGTTTTTACTATCATATTGTTAGTTATTTTTCTTAGTATTTGATTTAACTTTTTTCCCTTAGTGTTTTTATCGGTTCTTACTTGATATAAACTTTGGTTTATTTAGGTTTTCTCGTTACTTTCTGCAATCAATTGAACTTAAATAACTATCGTTATTGTTCTTACTCGATTGCCAGGTAATTATCATCTCCATACGTATTGACTTCTAAACATATGATTTTATTTGTTAAAAAAAAAAAAATTGTACTGGTAACAAGCTTGCATAGGATAATATAAGTTTTTTTTTTTTTTTACTTAAACGCAACGATGAAAGAAATTTTAATTATATTTAATACATATATGGATAGGCTAGAGATGGGAAAGATACCATTAAGGAATTGGTAAATATTCAATGCCATAGCATTTCCAAAACTCTATTCCAATTCTAGAATCATTTCAAAAAGAGTCAACAAGGATTTGAATTTGTCAGTCTTTTATTGGCTATATCAACAAATTTTAAATTCCCTATCAACTTAATGATGGCCGATCATGCCTTGAAGTTCATGAAAGTAGCGTTGGCGTTCAAAGGATTGCTTCGGTTTATTGAAAGAGCGAATAGATTTTTAATTGTTTTTCCACATTTCTTAGTTTTTCTCTCCTTCCAAGTTCAAATCTCACAGTATAAACTACAATCCTCTAGAGCCTTTAATTTTATCAATTTTTTTCCTCTTCAGAAGGGCTCATAATACTATGCCATGTGTCCCAAGCTCCATTTTATGCAATTGCACCCTTAAACAACTTTATTTTGGGCAATCAAGTGCTTGAATAATCATTATTGGTTAATTAATTAAGATCAACTTATGAATTAAGGATTAATCATTGTTAGTTAATTAATCAAAATCAATTTACGAAATTAAAATTAATCCTGATGAGGTAAAATTGAGGCATCCAAAGTAGTACACATACAAAAATGCCATCAATGGACATGGAGACCTGTGTATGCCACTGGACTACACTGGCAAGGCTATGTGTGTGTGTGTATATATATAGATACAGATGATCCGAGCCCGCTTAATACTCAAAACCTCTACACTTCACGTTCTAGCAATACTGAAATAGCTCTACAGCGTTTACCGACATGTGGGTGGGCATTAGAAGTGTAGATGTAAGTACATGAGTACCAGTCAACTAACCTCACATACTTTTTATGGCTGTGTATGCAGAAACATGAACGTCATAGCACTCTGCATTCCATGAGAGGTCCTTGACCATGGCATCTGCTATCGTTTGCTTCCATTTTGATGGGTTGCTCTTCTACAGAAAAGGTCACATCATTTTATAATTTTTTAAAAAATAAGATAAATAAAACATTTGTGACCATGCTAGTACTCACAATTTCATCCACAGCCTGGCTCAGAGACATACATCCAAAGGTAGAGCTAATGAACTGTGCAAATCTAGTGGTCTCTTGTTCATGATCTACAAAATCTCTGTAAAGAGATATTGCAGCTAAAATGGGTCATTCTTTCTTTCAGAAGAAGTTGCTTAAAATTCTCTATAGAATACTTTACCTGAAATTGTTCTCATTGGATGTGACTGCGATTGGAGCTGCTCCATATTTCAAAGCTTTCAACTACATATTTCGTATTACACAGATAATGCTAAGTCAGGGAAACAGCTTTTAATACAGAAATTTGCATATAGATGGATGTGGACCTTAGGATGATGCTAAATTGATGATAATACAAAGTTGACCAAGACATTTTAGCCTGTGCCCCCAAAGCCCATATGAACTATATAAATTAGGGTCACTGAGAGGTGAAAAGATCATTAAAAGAACATGATTGAAAATCAGCATAAAGAAAAGAACTTTTTATGCAATTATAAGCAACATGGACCCTCAGGAATATTAATCTAAAATCGACAGGGTCAGGACCAGTTTATGCAATTCAACACTTATAAGATATAGTAGTTGAGTTTGTGTGGAGTGCTTCTGCCCACACAAGTATTTGTGATCGGTCTCTTTAGGCCTTCCCAGGTTTATTTCATTCAGGTGACGACTTGGATTTCATTGAGCTTACAGACATGAAACAGATGCACTGGTGATTTCATTTCGATGAACATAATTCTCAACTTACTGGCACTTGGAGTAGAGGATCATGAAAAGTTTGGCACAAGATTATGTCTGAACCTGCAAAGATCAGATGCAATAGGGCTTCATCATATTTGTTTATGAATCTCACCGTTTCATCCTGTGGACATAGAACAGAAACAAAGATTAGAGCTCAGCAAAAACAAAAAGAGTAGAATAGGATAGGGATAGAGTAGTGTTTTACGTGAGATTGTGAGGTAAAATAAATAAATTAACAGGTTTGCAATCTAAGAACCCAAGAAACATAGCAACAATTTTAATTCAGGTTGAATGTGACAGGAATTTCTCCAGAGATATAAATTTTGAGTGAAATAGCAAGCAGAGAAAGATTGCATGAGAAGATGTAACATCCCAACGCATTACCTGAGGATAACTTATTGGGACATCATAACCACATTGATTTTTTTTTTCTCTCTTTTGTTTTTGTTAAGTTTATTTCATCAGTGCAGAATGCCAACATATGCACACAATAAGAGTAGCTATGACTGTACCCTATACCTTGAGTTCTTTCTGGAGATATTCCAGTGCTCCATCTGCACTTGTCATTTTGCTTCCCATGAAGATGAACTGTGTGGGAAACAACTAAACAAATTAAATTTGTGTATATTTCTTTGTAAGACTAAGAATGAAAAATGACAGCAGCGGTTTTTTCTTATTCATGGGGCTGCCAAGGAAAATGAAGAATCAATGTTCTTATTACTTTCTGAATTATACCACCATTTCATCAGCTATTAAGGAGTTTCTCCAATATTCAGCACTAAGCCCTGTATTCTCTCCAAAGAAATAGAGATCCAAAAACAAGTACAAACCTGGACACCCTTTTGTGTAGCATTCCAAACAACTGACTTCAGGTTATTCAGATCAAAATCAAAGGATTCTGTGGAGATGCATCCTACCTGATAGAAAGCATTTTAACTTTTCAGTTTGACAGTCCTTAAATCCTAACTTGATATCCTGTGAAGTTTACTATGTTTCATGGTCCTTTGAATCACTTATTCTGAAAAGAAATGCACTTAGTTCCAGGATATTTTAATTGTTATCAAACATTTGTTGTAGATGCTTAAGTTAAAAACCAAAATGTGTAGAATAATATTAAACCAAGGAACAAGCAGCTTAGAAGAGCATAACAAGAATATAATACTTTTGCATGCATTCATATTTTAAACTGGAATAATTGCCTACTCAGATTATTTTATTCCATGCATACAAGTTAATCCCTCAGTCTCGCCACAAGGAAATAAAAGGGCAAGTGATACTCTTCTAAAGCATTAAAATATGTAATAAGTAAAAGATTTTATGTCGCCGTTAAGTTAGCTATCAAGCTGCCAAAGCAGCCATGTGTTCGCAATATAGTGGAACCTGCGCTATGTGCACAACACAAAGCTGCCACATTTTGGACATGCATGGCCGTTAGCTGTTTTTTTAATGGATCCTTGAAAGCCTTTGACTTTCAGATTTTTCACATAAAAATGAGCAGAACACCCAAGTGGCATTTTGACACTACATACTGGCAAGACCAAATGGTTGAATACACAAATGATGCAAGCAGAAAATCAAAATAAAAATACGGAATTTATTCAGTAAGTTTATCTTTTTTCCTGAAATAAAAGATCCTAATGAGGATTTTGTGTTTAAATTGGTCCTGTATGGAATAAAATATCCTATTTTCTATTCCTATTGTATATATTTTAGTATAAGAGAAACAGTGCAGGAGACTTAAAGACGGTAGAGAGTTTTGAAAATTAGGGTTGAAGAGCCATAATCAAGGTTCTAAACTATCATTTGCTTTTATTACTTTTTTGATCTAATTCTCAAAACTCTCCACCGTATAGAAAAATTCTAATTAGGATCTTGTATACTACAACAGAATATAAACCTAATAAATAATTCTCTCTTCTTATTTTAATTCTGTTTGCATCAGCCAAGCTCTTCATACACGAACTTTGTGTAGCTGGATGTCTATAGCTTTTGAATTGATGCCAATAGGGGACTTGGGGTTCCAACTTATTGAAGCCCTCAGCCACCCTGGGAGCATGGAATGACTAGTGCCTGTATGTATTGCAGGCTTTCCAATCAACAGCCACCATGTGTGTCCTTGCCACTGTCCCATTGGACTATATTACAATATCTGTGCTACAACTCACACCAATCACGTGGACACCCTTTTAGGAAGGACACCCAGGTTCCCCAATACAAAAGTTGCATTTAAAGGATACTTTTTTTTTTTTATCTGATGGTAAAGGTATCCTAGGACTGCTTGCGTGTCAACTGAGACACCCAGGCAACCTTAAGGACCACCACCCCCCACATCAACCTAGTGCATTCAGAAGAATTTTAATAAATTTTCCTGGATGCTAGCCCCCAAACTTCGAAGTAAAGGAAGGAAGCATACCTCCATAATCACCAGGCCAACCCCTTAGGGCTACATTTGAAAGATACTAATGAGTAACGATACAATCAAAAGGCTCGCTTTGATTGTTAGATTTAGGACCCCCTATGACATTGCTATCCATTCTTAGGTTACAAATCCACACAACCATTGTGCCTGATCTCTACTGCTCACTTCATCAAGTTCCTAATGCCTTGACCGTCGGTGAGGTCTTTAATTTGATTGCTCCTATTCATTGTTCCATAGACAATATGCATCAGTTCACCAATCAAACACATCCATTAAAAAAAAAAAAAAAAAAAAATTTGAATCACATAATTAAGCATTCTACCAAATTAGAAACTAAGTCAAAATAAGCAGAAAAAAAAATGGAATTATATGTTCAAGTATTCCACCAATATTTTAAGAGACTAAGCCCAATAATAAGGTTAAAAATTCAGATTTTGTCAACAATACCTTCCACACCAAAGCCAGATAACAAAATAAAAAATTTAGATTCATTTGATGTCATAACATGAAGCACACATAGAAATCATTATTTCAAATTCCTACATGCAACACTTACAAGAACAGTAGATGAATTTTTGGATAACCCCAGGTGCTGCTGCAATGAAACTTTGCAAATGAGTTTCCCCTCTAGGTCATCTGCACTATAATTTTTTGGAAGAAATTTGTCCTTTGAAGGATCCCAGGTGGAGTTGTCAAATCCACAAGGAGTAACAAGCAACTTGTCCCTAAAACCAAGAATGTACAAGGAAATTTTTTAAACAAATGCAAAAGCAAAAACATGTCCTGTTATTGAGAGTTTCTCAAAAAGGCTACCCAGTCAGGTATTAGAATAACAGCATTATCAATAAATTGATGAGTTGCAGCAAGAACTTTCTGCTGCATTTCAGTGTGCATAAAGCAGAGTGGAAAGACATGGAACCTAAAAGCAGGAAGGCCATATAACTTACTTGTGAATGGCTAAGGTAGGTTCTAATCCATGACTGAAACTACGAATGATCCTGCCTTTTGAATACATGGATGACACCATTGCAACTTTATTAGAGTACACAACTCCACCCTGCATATTAGTAACAAATAAAATATTCAAGTAATGGCAGATGGAAAAAGAAGCTAGAAGTTTTATAGTTTTATACATTATAATTCCTTCAACATGGACATCACACAATGATGAACCAGGAATAATACATGAGAGACAAAGTTCATATGTTGGGGATTAACAGGTGTAATATCAAGTGTCTAAAATTTTGCAACTTGACCTTCCTAACACTAGATTGATCATGTGAAATCATGATACAATGAAAGATCTGTTTTGTTATTTACATAGTTTTTCTCAATTTCTAGATACCAGCAAAATCTGACAAAGAGGATCTAACTTAGTCAACTTCACCTTTAGGCAGGCTATGCATACATCATCAAAGACCAAACAGTTTCAAATATAATCATCTGGGGGAGAGGGGGATGCTCTTTTACAAGCACAAAAAGGTCAAATAAACCCAATATCAACCATATACTGCATATCAAACATCATATATAATCAATATGGGGTTATTCGACTTAGAATTCCACTATGATAATACTGATCAATTATCATGTGACTTGGTACTTTCTCATTCATTGATGTGTAGCAAATAAACAACAACTTTCAATGTTTTCTTCAATGCAAAAAATTGATATTAAAGATGAGACAAAATGAATCCTTTCAAGAAAGCCAATCACATGTTAGTTCGGCATGCCAATCTAATGATTCTTTATCTCAAGTTGTGACTAATTCTATTAATGAAGATCCAGGAAGATAAGTTACCATGTAGAAGAAAAGGAGCAAAAGATAGTGCAGGTAGCTATAGTGAAAACCTTCAGCTTCATAGAGGACTATTGCAGAAAGATTTTACTAAAAAGAGAGACATTGCAGAAGAAGAAAAAAATTATAGACAAAAATGTTTACCTTCAGAACATTGACAAGATGTGTCTTAGTGTTATCTTGTAGACGGTCAGGACGGTGAAGTCTAGCAGGATCAAGTCCGCATAGTGCTAGCTTATCAGGTTGCTCAAGGCACTAAAATCTCATACCAGTGACATTATATTATGTTCAAAGCAAAAGGTCCCAGTCAGAACTAGTAAAGCCAGAATGGAAGAGATGTAAGAACTTACTTGTGAATCAAAGTCATGGCATGTCAACAACACTCTGGTACCTCCAAGCCCCTGTACATAGGACAAACAAAAGCTATGATGACATGAATTTTAAAATAATGCTTCTTTTCCCTCCTCAAATGCAACAAGTAATAGGAAAAGAGATAAAGTAAAACACGAATACAAGGTGACATTTATTATTTCCAGGTGATAAGAAGAATGCTTATCACCAAGTCTGGCCTTTCTCATCCAGAAGAAAAGAGTATCACAGGAATAACTTCTAGTGTAATCAAAACAAAGATCCATGGGTTATAGATGCAAATTCCAAACACTCCACTTAGTTCTGCCCATAATTTGTCCATAAGGAGCTCTCAGTCTTAACAAAGAAGTCCACGCTTAGTGATGCAATAGAACAATAGCAAAGGATATGGCCATGTCTATCTTTCTGTCATTCACACTCCAAGTTGCTTGATGGTTAATTAGAACAAGATGGCCAATGCTATGTCTGAAATATTAACACTAGCAAATTCCTGTTTTAAGATGAAAAAACTTTTCTTTTCAAGGCAAGTACACCCATGCACGCAATAGAGATTGAGCCAACTACTTCAACCTCTACTTCTATTCTTTAGATGGATAGGCGTTATCATCTGACGCAAAGGCCACTAGAAACTTTGAAGTTTCAACATATCTTGATTGTTTTTATGAATATGTAAATATAAAGAAAGATAGAGAAATGATGTTATGAGGCACATCTGCACACCAAAATCACATGACTCATTAAGCTGAAAAGAAAAGCAGATTAAGTTGCACCTGTGTAACGAAAATATCCCAAAAGAGTGGTCCAACAATAGCAGTCTCCCAATTGTGTATGTGCAACACATCAGGCTGCTTTCCAGATTTTGCTATATAATCCAATGAAGCACGAGAGAAATAGGTAAATCTGAAAGCATCAAACAAAAAAAAACCCAACAAATCAAATTGTTATCTACTCATTATACAAACAAGCAAGGAATGAGTTGAAAGAAATAGCATAAGGAAAGTAAAATTTATGTTAGTTCACTTGTGTAAAGTTCAGAGTAGAATCAGACAACAAAAGGTCCCACACAAAGTTCCGAAATGTAATAATTCAAACTGCCAACTCAGAAAAAGATATGTCTGAAAAGATATATGAAAAATTTATCAGTATACATGAGCATAAGGCACTTGTGAAAATCATAAGTTTGTATCAATATTAAATTCTTCAAGGTTATTTCAAAAATTAATTTAAAAGAATTTGGCCAGAACTCAAAAGTCAGGACACATATCACACACCAGAAAAAAGAAAAAAAAGAAAAATTCGACTACCATCTTAGTTTCTAAGGGAATGCACATGCCAACTAATTTATTTTTTGAACTATGACCGATAGCTGATCTTTTCATACAGAAATTTGATTGGTATGCAGGTTGATAGATGCAGGCAGTTGTTGATCAAGATTCTTAAAGAAAAAAGTACTTGATTACCACTAACAGCACAGCTCTTTGTTAATGGTACGGATGGTTATTAAAAATGAGAATGGAACTAAAGAACTGTTGATACGCATAAATCTTATCACAACAAAGAAGATCATTTTGAAACTCATCCCTAACAATTTTCACTCTCTGTCTTTCACAAGACTCATCAACTTTTCAGTTAACTGGAAGTTCCTCTCGCTACGGATATCTATATCAGCAAGAATTGAAATAGGAATTTCTCTCCAATGTGACATATATTTTGGGTTGGAAAGGAGCCACAAGAGTGCTACAGTTATGGTTAATGAATCTAAAAGTCGTTGAAAATTGCATTTAAATTCTTTCTTTGCACTATCTGTAACTTATGTTGAACATGGGGATTTCCTACAATACTGTGGGATCTACACAATATCACAAGTAAAGAGAATTTGAAAACAATGCTAACTAAATAATTTGTAAAATAAGAAGTAACAGGAATGATTTTACCAACCGTTCAAAGTCATCTGAGTAACCGTATACCCTTTCTCGGTTAAAATAAGATGAATAGTACAAAGGTTGAATGAGAGTAACTCCAATGCCATGGACAATGCTGAACAAAGAGCATCATCAACAATAAGATCGAGATAAAGATCTTAAACAATGGAGGAAATGCAGAGGCGATATCTTACTTGCTTGTTGAAATGGAGGTTAATCATGAACAATAGCATAGCATAATCTTCCTGTATCAAGGAAACAGCTAAAACTCACCCTGTCCAAATTCTGTTTCCATGCAATTGACCATTAAAATATGAATATGACTCCACCTCAATTTCTCGCAGTCCATGCATTTCAGTGAGGTCCAGACATGCATACCTTCAGGGAGATGACAAAAAATTTTCAGGCTTCCAATCTAGATTCTAGTGTGCAAAAAACAACTGGAATGGAAAATATTTGAAAAAACCTTTTCATGCTGCACTCTAAAATAAATTGACAAACAAGCTCAAGTTCACTTCCTACTATGGATAAACTCTTTGGTTTTTAAATTCATTAGCTAAAGTCAAAATATGCGGTTTGGAGGGGGGGGGGGGGGGATGGGGTGAATCTGTAACAATTATATCATGGCATGTGGCCCAGTACATTTTCTACCAATATTTGATATCTCATACAGATTCTGATTGTGCAAAAGAGGCCCTATGTATACTCCCAGTACCAAGGGTATAATTTTGTCCTCATTGAAAACTAAGTAAATTAATAAACAAAGAGTAAAGAGTGATAACTTCCTAGTTTGAAGATGCATTGTAAACTTCTCATTTTCACATACATCTCCAAAATATTCTGGTATAGAAATTCCAAAATCATTGAGATATAAAAGCACGTTCAAAGAGGTGTTGAAACCTTGCTGTGCACAACCAAAATTGGGAAGACATGGAAACCCAACGAGAGGAATTAATAAATAATCATACTCCCATAGAAACGTATTAGCATACTCATAGTTTGCTGTACTGCTAGGAGTCCCACACCACCCCCTCCTCTTTTGCTTAAAAGAAACTACAGTAATTAAGATGAATACACTTGGCCTAACTTTAAGTTAAGCAGTTCTAACAAAAAACATCTTTAAAGAAACTCTAATGGCATTGAAGACTGACTTATGTGTTGAAAATAAAGCACTCAGAGACATTTATCTAGAAACACAATATTGAGAAGGAAAGGATATCCTCAAACATGCAGGATACAGCCAGACGGACCTTAACAAACAATGTCCAAGCATGATAGCATACTTATGAAAAGTGATCCATACCACTCTTAACAACAAAAGAATAATATTTAAGAATCTTTCATATCTTTTTTCTGTAGTTTTCAGAACAAAATAGGATAGCATTGACGAAGTTCTACAAAAGTTCCCCTAACAAGCAATTGAACTAAATATAAAATACAAAAGTTGAGGTATATCAATTACTTCGGCAAAATAACCTCCACCATGTGTCCTTTTTTCTGTAGTGCCTGTGATAAGCCTGTCACATATTGTGACAAGGATCCAACCGATACGAGTGGTTCCATTTCAGTGCAAATTTGGATAATGTGAAAAGATTTCCTGAATCGAAATTATAATAATTAGATGATTATGTAATAGAAGAAAACTAATGATCATAAGGATGATGACAAATTAATTAACAGTGGGAATATGATACAAAGCAAAGAGATCTGGTAGACCACCTCAGGTAAAATTGCATATCATCATTTTGTGTGTCTGTGTGCGAGTGCAGGTATAATTTCTAGCCAGTTAAGTATGAGTTCTAATTTCATTTTAGAATGTAGGATGCACCATTCTTAAGTGGTCAAGTTGCAGCTTTCATGAAATAATAATCTTTACTTTCTGCTTCCAGCGGAGAAGTGATGGAGTTCTGCCAGAAGCTCAGCATCACTTTTCTGTCTCATGTCACAAAAAGCATGAGCAACACTAAATTTGTTACCCATGACTGCTTTTCTCAAATCAGAAGCCGCGGCAGTGTCAGTCATGCCAGCGAGGACCATTGAGTCAATCCGAAGCAGCAATTCCCAGCACAGTGATTGCACGTCTGGTATAGACAGGACACTCATTAAAAGAAATTATTGCTCAACTTTCATTCATTTTCTCATCATTCTTCGCTATCCTAGAAAATCTCAACTCAATTTTGCAAATAAAATTATAATCCTCATCAATTTACATGCTGCAATTTGCATCAATTATTTGTTCGTGCATAGCCAAACCTAATTCTGCAGTAGTAGTAGGCTTCTTTACTGCCTCCAATTGCTGTATTCTATCCAGCAACAACTGTTTCTCTCTGTTTGCTTTATTCAGTTCCTCAACAGCAAGAAGGCGTTGTTTGTTTAAGTAAAGAATATCTAAAAGGAAAATCATCACAAAAACCCCACATTACTTACTCACTCACTCTCTCATTCACAAACAAAATGGGGAAAAAAAAATCTATCACTTACTCTGCTGAGCTTCTTTAAAAAGCTGCCAAACGTCATTATTTTTCTCTGCCGGTTTACCGGGACTTTCCTCAGGCATCTCCTCCTCGAGAAATTGAGGAAGGGATTTAAGTAATCCATTAGCGTCTCCATTACTGCTATTCTTGCTGTTGCTGCAGATAAATTATTTAATTACTCGCTTGAAAACAATACAAAATGTAATATAGCATGTAATTTTGACAACAGCCGAAGTTACCTCAGGGAGGAGCAGCAAACGGATCGTCGAGCTTTCACGGCTTTTTTGTGGCTCGTTGTGCTGGGTTTTGGGAAGCCAATGGGTAAGAGGATGGCAGCGTTTATTACAGACTCCATTTTTTTATTTTTTATTTTTATTATTTCTTCTGGAAAAACAACGAGGAGCGTTTTATGAGGCATAATAATAGCGGGTAGGTATGAACACGTGGATAGAGTTCCAAATGAGTCGATGTGTTTCAACTTCAAGCCGGCCGAAACTCGTTTATTAAGTTTAACGAACTAAAATAAGCCTCTTTTTAAAAGCAAATTTTATAAGCAAGCCAAACTTAAGCTCGGCTTAGCTGTTGTTTCATACCGTTTATTAAGCCGATGAGGAACATGTTAGTGTATTTATATAAAATTGTAAGTTTAACCGCACATAATCAATTAAAAATTTGAAATTATGAGCAAAATTATTTTATTAGACAAAAAATTGTAAAACTAATCATCATCATCCCATCCCATGCAACTAAATACTGTATTTATATAAATAGATTGAACAATTAATTACCTTACATTGTTAAAATAAGTGGAGATTTTGAATCGTGAAGAAGAAAAACTAAGTCAACCCAACTAATTTGTAATTAAAATAAAAACTTTTGGGTCGTGATGTATGATTTTATAAAATTGAATGCCATTTTGGGATAGATAAATAAATGGAAAAAAAATGCAAAACAAGAATAAATAGGAAAATCAACAATTAAAACAAGGATAAAATTGCAAAACATAAGACAACAAGGACTAAAATGAATCTTAACAATCTTCAACCTCCAGCACGTTTCGTCTGGAGAGAGAACGGATCATTTTACCCGGATAGCTACTTGTAGGAACAATACTCGTAACAAATCTAAAACCTCTCTTCCATTTCTCTCTGAATCTTCAACCAATTCAAGCAAAGTTAAAGCTTTTGATGAACAATGCAACTTTGATGTAGGAAACCAACTTTTTAATTTATTTAGATGAATCAAGGAAATGCAAACAAAAGTTGAAATTCAACAGAGGCACATACAAGATTAAGAATTTTCGTAATCCTAACATTTTGATGATCTGACTTACAGGATGGGTGATATCAGGGCTTCCATTCTAAAGGTGTGTTAATCACTACCGCACCAAAAAAGCCTTTCACTATTATTAATAAATTATCAACATCTAAAACTGACAACATATTCGGAAACAATAAGAAAAAGAAACCAAATCAAGGAAGAAGAACTAAACGGTCATCGTTGACTCAGCTTGCGCTTCTTTGCCAACTTTCTCATTCGTTCTTGTCGCTCCTCTTCTTCTATCAAGCGGAGTTGCTCTTCATCTTCCTCTCGTGCTATTCTGGCACTGTATCACCATACGCATACATAAATCAATCAAATAGCTAAAAGTTCGATCTGATTAAAAACAACATCCCTAAAAATGTCGGAAGGAATATGCAGCCCCTGACCCTTGGTGGATCCACCAAAAAAAAAAAAAAAACTAAATGACATAAAAAACATAGCAGGAGTTGGGGAAAAAAAGTAGAAAAAAAGTCTCCTTCCATTTATGACCACCAATTCTAGTGCAGAAAAAAACGAAACTAATTTAACCAAATTTAGCTTATTATCTCCATCTGCTGATAGAGCAGCACATCATAAGTATTCTCCTTTGTGATTTCCTTGCCACTCACTCAGAGCATATACTTTAGATTGTGAAATATTTGACCCCGACATGCTCAATAAGAACGAACACATAAAAGATCTTGATTGAAAGGATGTTAAAAAACAAAAGGGCAAGTTGAGAACAAAATAAAAATAAAAAATAAAAAAAAATTCAATAACATTCTCATTTAAAATTACGTCATGATACTAACCTTCTCCTTTCTTCCTTCATGATGTCATCAAAATTTGCCTCCATGTCACTATCGTCGTCGTCGTCATCATAATGATTACCATATTTTTTGCCTCTGCAAAGAAAATATCAGTCCCTCATAAGAAAGAAATTACCTCAAACCATCTATCAAGATTACATAAAAGCATCATAAAAAATCCAGGCAAGAAAATTTGACCAATCAAATCCAATTAATTGTGAATCCAAAACTAAATCAACCAAAACCACATCTCAGATTGATAACCTCGAGTCATCCTTACCCCACAACCTTGACAATTAGAGGGCATGATTCTGCCATACTGACCATGAGAAGTTGTCTTACTCAAGAGATAATTAATTGAGTAAAAATATGAATCAGGCAGACAGATTATTCAACAAAAATAATGGCAAGAAAGTTTTTCAACAAATAAAATGAAAGAGAGAGCATGTAAAAGGGCAGAAGCAGAAGCAGCTTTACCCAATTAATTTTCTGAGCATACTGAAAGCATCCTCGTCATCGGAGCACTCATCAGGGAACGATCTGACAGGCTTTTTCTTGGGGCGGTTATCTTGTAACGATGCATGAGACGAAACTTGCTTGATTGGCTTATTTATCTGTTGATATTCCAGGTAAGAAGTTAGATATGGAAATATTTAACAAAGATTATGTTGTCATGACCGTTAAAATGCAGAGAATGGACTCAAACCTGTTGTTTTGAAGATGCCAATGGCTGTTTTGCTATCATTTTAGCATTACTGGGTTCTTGTAATCCTTTTCTCTGTTCCCAGTGTTCCTTTGGAACAGATGACTTTGAAGGGATAGGTTTGTGCATAGCAGGCAGGATTTTTTTAACACTTGGTGCAGAGGCCTTCTTCTGCATGATGGGAACAGGTGTCTTTGAAGGCAAACCTTTTGGCTGTGCAGGCCGGCCAGGCCCAGTCCCATTGCTGATACCTAACTGCCTTTTCGAGTTCATCGATGTTGCATCGGGTTTATTTGCATAAGTTGGCTTTTGTGACCCTACTTTAGAATGCATTTGGCCATTCCTGGAAACTGGCTTCCTTTCTTCATGACTGCCATGAATGTTTCTGCCACTCTTGCTGGGTGGTTGTTTGCTCTTTTGTGGCACTTGAGCAGATCTCGCCTCTTGAACATCAGCAAAAAACCTGTATAAGTTTCCTCAATAAAAATAGAATGTAAACTAATCTTGAATAACCAGATTATAAACAAAAGTTGCAAGATACCAGAGTTTCGAGCAGAGGCATTTCTAGGGGCAGGCTCTTTTGTAGAAGCTGGGAGCTCTGCATCATCTGTTAACAAGAAGGAATAATCTCTTGTATCCTTGAGCTTTTGGGCTTTTGTTTTTAGCTGCACATTAAGTGAAAATCAATGGCATTGGTCGCTACAAAAAGAAGAAAAGAAAAGAGCAACTCAGAATACCTCATTTTTTTGTTTCGGTACGACTCTATGTACTCCATTTTGGGAACTTGTGGCAGTTGAAGAGGAGCTCTTTTTATTCTGCAACAGCAAACAAGATTGTAAAGGTAAGATCTCCATCTGAAATAGCTTAGCAGCTGTTTGCAGCATCTTCATTCCAACATGGCAACAAGTCAAATTCACAACAGCACACAGTTACAGATCACAAAAGGAAAGCAGAATAAACAAAACCCACAAAGAAGCTGCAGAACAAAGTACACAGACCAATGCACAGAATACAAGATTAGATAACACAGATACTATCAAGGCTACGAATTTTCTGTCGAAATATTCATTTCACTCGAATCAAAGGCCTATTGTAAGTTGCAAGCATGCAATTCCATTTACAAAAAAAACTAAGTGAAACCGAATTGACATCCCTAGAAAATTTATGACATTATTGTAACTCAACTGGTTTAAAAATTTTCAATATAGTAATATACTAAATTTCTAGTATCACTCCATGAGTCAGGGAAATTATGCATTTGTAATTGCAAAAACTCAAACTTGATAAGAATTGGAAAAATTAGGCACTTGTAATGTCACCAATTTTTAAATCAGATATCACAATGCTCCACAAGCATGCATTCCATAAGAGCTTTATAAAAAGATAAAATCTGCAGCATGCATATCTCATGTGGTTTGACAAAACCAAATGGTTTACGATACATACAGCATGCTGGGAGTTTGGAACTCTGAGAGCCAGATGTTGGTTTTCTAGTAATGACTTGCTTTCTTGAATTACTCTTTGAGCAATAACTGGCTGAGAAGGGCCAAAGAATGAACCATACCTGCAGAAAGATGAAATCAATGATGTGAAACAAACTATTAACGAAAATAAGCATTAGTCAAGGAAAAATGCAAGCAATTTAACGATTCCTACATCCGAACATAATTTCAGACTGTTTAAGTTAACCTCAAAAGAAAAACTTGAATTAAAAGGCAAAAACAAAACTTGGACGGTCAAATTTGTAGTGACATATTCCAAAGGTAAGGCCACAATTGAGTGGTTTTAGACCCTGAATGATGCAGTGGTCTCCATCTTTCAGAAAATTTATAAGAAACCAACCATACCATCACCTTATATATACTTGAAAAGAACCTGTTTGGCTGATCTTCTGGTGCCAATGTCAAAAGATTCTTGGTAGATTAGGCTTTGATGGCTTGGCAGTTAAAATATACTAGTGTGGTTATTAACATAATAATACTGTAGAGTAGGCAAGGCCCGTTAATATAGCTTGCCTAAGCTAACAATCACTTAAATTTCCCCCACCATCATAATCAAGGCACATGAGCATGAACACAGACCAACTATGCATAGTCAGATACATACGTGAGGACATCGAGTACGTATGTGCGGACATCACCAAAGCATGCCTGTGATACATGTGATTTTCACATGTAGTTATGACTGAAAAATACAAGTACAATTACAAATCGAGCTGTAAACATCCAATTGCAGTCTCACACAAAGAGAAAGTGTTCTGTAAGGCATCTCAAAACCTTATTGTGTCCAAGTGTGTGCATGCATGTCTATGTTCACCAGAGATTTATGCATTTACAAAATGTCAACAACATGCAGTATCACCAATCATCTTCAAATGAAAAAAGCAACGCATTCCTTCATGATAACAAAAAGATACAAGCTTCAATGCATTAAGAAAATGGAACATATGACTTACTTGTCCGACGGAAGCTTTTTCTTCTTCTCTTGGGATTTAGTGAGAGCAGAACCACTTTCCTTCTGCATCTTCTTTCTAATTTGTGCTTTAATCCGCTCCCTTAATTCAAGATATTCCACTTCCTCTGCAGTGGGTTTCCGTTCTTCCTCTTCATATTCCTCCTCCTCAACTTGCTCTTCACCTTCCACCTCATATTCATCATAATATTCATCTTCCTGCACGATCACAGCACCAATTAATAAAAAATAAAAAGAAAAAAATGTATGATCGCACACACTTTTAATTGCATTTTCAAAAAATAAGAAGTTTGATATTAAACCTAGAAACAACGGCTTACCTCTCTATCATATCCTCTCATTGCAGCTTATAATCTTCAATAAGATCAACCGACAGTTGCTCTAATTAAAACCAATGTTGCTGGAAATTAAAAAAAAAAAAAAAAAAAGCATGAAATAGTTAAAATCCTCAATTTTGAAAAACAAAAAATACAAAAGGTAGCAGCTCAAATAGGAAGACAAAATTCTCTCATAATCCATGGCGTGCTTTTACAAAGTAAAAAATTGCATAGAATCAAAATTCAACAATCTAAACTCACAAAAAACAAATTACTTCAATCACCCCCAAAAACAATCAAAATTCAACAATCTAAACTCACAAAATATTTATGAGATATTCAACCACAAAACATGGAAGATAGATCTTTTTGTAATTTTTAATTGATTTTGAAACAAAAATCCTAATTTCGTACAAAAAATTGTTGCGTAAAAACAATTAACGATAAGTAATAATAATAAATAAATAAATGCAAGGAAGATAGTGACGGATTATAAACGTCGAATACCACATATTAACGCGAGAATCGATGAAACTGGATCCAAATTTATGCAAAAATAAGACCGATCTTAAAAATAATAACCAACTTGAATTACCTTAAATTGTCACGAGAAAAAGATCGAACCGTGCTATTTCTGATCGCAAAAGCAGAGACCGCGATCGAACAAGAACGAGACAAATCCAATTGTAAGGAAAGAATCAAAATACCTCTGAGATCTATATATTGCACACAAGCGACCGTGAGAGAGAAGGGGGCTTGTGGCTGCAGTAGGTTTTCGGGGATAAAGAATTGGAAACGGAAGGACCCAGAAACAAAGGGGACTACTACTAACATGCGCCGTGTAGTGTGGTGCGCACCCCATCCCAAATTTGCGGTTTTTCTATCCTTTTCGGTGAAATATTAACTTTCTCCCTTTCGTGGGTTCCTTGTTTCTTCGTAGGCTTCTTTTTCCGAGAAAGCATTATTCTATCAAATCTTATTTACCATTTCAGATTAGGGTTAATTAATTGGCTTCTGTTCAGCTAAAATAAATTTAATTTTATTTAAGTTTGATAGACTGTTTAATGTCCCAAATTTATTAATATATATTCATTTGAAGAAAAAATTTTGTTTAATTTTATATTTTTTAATAAAAATTTTATATTTTATTTATAATTATTATGTTTTTTATATTTTGTGTTGCTAAGAACGTAATTTGTTTCGTTATGTATTAATTCTTAAATAAAATATATTGTAATATAAATTGAAAATTTAATATGAAATTTAAAAAAAAAGTCTTAATATTTTTTTTTCAAAAGATTGCATTGAATAAATAAGTAACAATCAATATAAAAACTTGAATAAAAATTAACAAATAAATATTTTAAATTTTTTGAAAATATGTACATTCGATTTATATATATTTACTTATAAAATTTTTTAAAAAAAACTAAAGAGCTGGGGAAAATAAACAATACTATTTATTACTGTTCATAAGTTGTGATTTTGTAATTTTCGTAATGGTTTTTTTAAAGTTTTTTTAGCTTTCATTTTCAAATTTCACGCTTCATTCCTTTTGCGTCCTTATGTTTTCAAAATATTTTTTTTAAATCCTCATATTTTTAAAAAATATTTTGACATTTTATGTTTTTAACTTAGTCCATTTTTTCTCACATTTTTAAAAAAATATTTTTTTATTCCTCATATTTTTAAAAGATGTTTTTTACCTCTTATGTTTTTAAATTTTAGAACAAACACATATATCGGATTATATTTTTTTATTGATTAAAATTAATTTCTTAAATTTTTCGTTTATTATAAAAAATTTCATCAAATTAAATTTTTTATTTTTTTTAAAATTTTATTTGTTAATAAATAATCTTTCTCTACATATGAATTTTTAATATTTTTTTAATAAATAATAGAATTCACGTATTTCTTTACCTTATTCTTGATATAATCAATTTTTTTGAAATAAAATTTTAAATTATTTTTATTGCACTCTATCAACTTTAATATATTTCTTACAACTTAATTTTTTTAAAACATATTTTTAATTTGTACGGGGTATGGCAATGATGTAATGATGCATACAAAACAGTATCGAGATCTTTGATTTTATTAAAAATTAATTATGCATCTATAGATATAACACCAACTATTTTCTATTAATTATTTTTAATATTTTAAATTTATTTTATTTTAAATAAAATAATATTTTAAAAGAACCATCCGATAATTCAAATATATATTTTTATACCTAATATTATTGATTGTTTTTTTTTTTTTTGTGTTTGTGTGTGTGTCTATATATCAAATGTACATATTTTTAAAAAGTTTAAAAAGATTCATTAGTTAATTTTTATACGTATTTTTATAGATTGTTGTGTATGAGAAATTTTACAATACATAAGAGCAACTAATGACATGTACAAGTAATTACTCCGTAGATTTATTTGGAGGAGAGAGATAGACACATAAAATTACATTCGGACTTATCAAAAGTGATAAGAAGATTTTCACGTTCGTTCAATTTTTTTAATTTTCTCTCTCTTGTTTCTCTCTCCTTTTTATATGTCTATCTCTCTCATTCAAATGAATCCATAGAGTAACTATTGTACATGCCACTAGTTACTCTTTGTGTATTATAAAATTTCTCTTTGATGTATTTCTCCAATGTAATCTTATAAAAAAAATATTAAGATATTTTTAAAAATTTTATATTTATATTGTTGTAGGTTTTTATTTAAGAACAAACGAATAAAAAAACGAATCGTGTTTTTTTAACAATAAAATATGTGAAAAAACATAAAGATGCACAAATAAAATAGAAAATTTGATTAAAAATTCTGAAATTAAATAAAATTTTCAATTTTTATTTTTAATTTAATAATATTAGTAGAAAAAACTAAAAGAACTCGAGATTTTACTATTCATTTACTATTGTTATTTTAGACTTAGATTTATTATTCATTGTGTTACTTGATTTTTTGTACCCTAACTTTTCGTTAATTTCTCTTTTGCCACCCGATGGACTTGGGAAACTCTATTTTTACCCTTGACTGGCTCTTTTTTTAATTTTCTTTTTGGGCCTTTTTTTGTCATTTCCTTCTTCTTTTTTTCAGATTGAGCATTTAATGCTCATGTCTTTTTTTAATGTTTTTTCTTCTTATTTTCTACAGGGAAGCCAAAGCTATTTGCTATTTAAAAGTGATTATAGATTAGTACCTCTTTCTTCGAAAAATAATTAATTAGTCTCTTTGGTTCAAAAACTAATTTTTTTTATCCTTTTTGCTATTTCAATGTTTTTATTTTTTGTTTAAGAAATAGAGAAAGAATTAAAAAAAAATTATATATATATAAGACATTTTATAAAATAAAAAATAAATTATTCATGGTCAAAACTCGATTCAAAAAAATTAAATCATTTATTTTTGAAACTAAAAGAATTAATTAATTCATTTCTCAAAACAAGAAGAACTAATTTATAATTTAATTTGCAATTCAAAAATCTCTTTCATCATAGATTAAGAAGTAAAATTTATGGAAACTAATTTTGTAATAGTTTTTTATTTCAATGTATTGACATTAATATATTCCATACAACTTGAATGAGTTTTTTTTTAAATGTTTGTTTATACTATAATCGTGATATATATATATATATCATTAGTTTTGTTGAAAATTAATTATGTATCTACATACATAACAAGCATTAGTCTCTTCAGCTTTAAAAACTAATTTTTTGGTCCTTTTTGCTATTTCAATGTTTTTAATTTTTGTTTTAAGAAATAGAGAAGGAGTAAATATATATATATATATATATATATATATATATATATATATGAAAAAACACATTTTTAAAATAAAAAATAAATTATTCGTGGTCAACACTAATTAAAAAAATTAAAAATTTTATTTTTGAAATCAAGAGAATTGATTCATTCTTTTTTTCAAAATGAGAACAACCAATTTATAATTTAATTTACAATTCAAGAATCTTCTTTATCATAGATTAAGAAGTAAAATTTATGAAAACCAATTTTGTAGTAGTTTTTATTTCATTTCATTGACTTTGATATATTCCATACAATTTAGATGTTTCGTTTCGAAAAAAAAATGTTTATAATATACACTCTAAATATACTAAGTAATATATATATATATATATATATTAGTTTTGTTAAAAATTAATTATGTATATGCATACACAATACCATTAGTCCCTTTGATTTTAAAACTAGTTTTTTTGTTCTTTTTGCTATTTTAATGGTTTTATTTTTTATTTTAAGAAACAGAGAAAGAACAAAAAATATGAAAAAAGACATTTTTTAAAATAAAAAATAAATTATTTGTGGTCAACACTAATTGAAAAAATTAAATAACTTATTTTTGAAATCAAAAGAATTAATTAATTTATTTTTCAAAATGAGATGAACTAATTTATGACTTAATTTGCAGTTCTAAAATCTCCTTCATCATAAATCAAGAAGTAAAATTTATGAAAACTAATTTTGTAATAGTTTTTATTTCAATTTGTTGAATTTAATATATTCAATACAATTTAGATGGTTTTTTAAAAAAATTCTTTATGTCATATACTCGAATCTACTAAGTATATATATATATTAATTTTGTTGAAAATTAATTATGTATCCGCAAACATAACACTAATTATTTTCTATTTATTCTTTTTTTTATGTTCTAAAATCAATATTTTTTAAATAAAAAATCAAAATATATATCATCAGTTTTGTTAGAAATTAATTATGTATCCGCACATATAACACTAATTATTTATTATTTATTCCTTTTTGTGTTCTAAAATCAATATTTTTTAAATAAAATAATGTTTTGAAAAAACCTTTCAATTATTCAAATACAACTTTTTATGCTAATATTATTGATTATTTTGTTAATAAATATATCTATAAATCAAATGATTTTGCTCAGCAAATAGTTTTGATTTTCTTTAATTATGAGAAAAAAGATTTTTATCCGCATTACAACATACAAATCGTTTACTTTACGTATATATAATGTTG